ATTCCTTCTTTTCAGAAAGACTTTGCTTCAAAAATTCGCTGTGTTTAGTCATAAAAGCATTTAGAAAACACAAGGCACAATTTTTATTAGGATACTGATATGTAATTTTAAAAAGAATAGTTCAGTGTTTGGGAAACGTCCACAGCTTCTTTTGGAAAATGATTTTTTTTAATGGATGAAGAAACAAATAAATAAAATTTGGAAAGAAGTGATCATATTCAAAATCGTTTGGAGTTTGGCAGATTTAAAAGTCAAAATATTGAATTTGTTTGTTTCTCATATTTTAGCATGCACAAAGCTCAATTTATTTCTTTCATGAATTTTCATAAGGATTTTTACTACGTAGCATGTGTGCCTTTAATGATGTAATCACCTGATAGACTAGGAAGACTCCAAAGGAGACGTTACGGTCTGTTGTGTACATAATACTTGTTTGAAAAATCTGCCTAATTAAGGAGTTACCCAATGGAGTGCAAGCCTACTGGGTGCATGACATGGTTAAAGAAAATAACAGCAACAAAACCCTGCGGTATAATTGCAGTATTACAAGTGATCTTATATTGGCAATTTTGGTTATAGGGGAATGATGCTTACCTACCGTTGTGTCAGCTAAAACGCAGGCAAACTGTGATAATTCGCAAGGAGCAATAAAACTGTGTTTCCATTGGTACAGTTGTTTGACCATTTCCTTGTCCAGCCCTAGTGACACCTGCAGTGTATCAATTCAAATATCAATTGGCGATCATCTTTCAGTGGCTCAGAAAACTGGTAGAACATCCCTGCTAATGATGTTGAGTCCCAGCCTTGTCTGCTTGTCTTAGCTGGTTGTACAGAACAGGGTAACCTTCCTGCAGAACTTTTCCATTGGTTTGGATGGCCACGATGTTAGAACAAGGAGCATCACACGTCGTTTGTTTGGGTAGGGAGTGTTCCTCCCCCACTCACACTTAAGTCCGTAATTTGATTATTTAATGCTAGCGTGCGGTGAAGAATAATGCTGAAAGTAAATTGATTGATTAGATGTGAACATCGCAGTTAATATAGTGGATCAAAAGAAATAACTGTCCCTTCTCAGCATGAGAGAATAGTAGTGGATGGAATAGGTGTGGTACTAGTAGCCTTAAATTAGGCAGTCCTAGGATATACCCTGTACAGAATTTGCCAGGTTGCTCTGTCACATGCTAAAATTGTGTTACCTAAAATATTGTTGTATTTAACTCTTCCCCGCCCCCCAAAAAAGCAAAGCAGGCCTTAAGCTGACGGATGCACAAAGGTCATGACCTTGGTTTCATCTGATTATGAGACTCTGGTAGGCACTTTCCCGTTTTTCTGAGTTGTCAGAATAGTTTCACTGCATATGTATAGTGAAGGGTTTTATTTTTTTTAGAAAGTGCTTCACTTATGAATTTGGATCAAATGCATCTTTGTGACTTACTAGAGAGTATACTTTGCACGGATCAAATAAGAAGTACATTTGATTGCTACTAAATTTGAATTTGTGCCTTTGGGTAAGTTTGAATAATGAAGTATGCTTTACTTTAAGAATCAGCTTACATACATAGCCATGAAATACTTCTGTCAAATACGAGCAGTTTGATCTGCAGAGAAGAATCTCTTATTTTGGTTCTCCCTGCCGTCAAGGTCTACACATTGTACAACGAAAAAGAGGAGAAAATACACAAAAATGGAGATTGGAAGATTTTCTTTAATAAAAGATTGCAGATCCTAAGTAGTAATGAGCTTCACAAAAGCAAGCCCTCATTGGATCAAAGTCAGTTTAGATAAGGGCAGTTCAAGGTCACAGAGGGAGCTGCCCAGCAGGACCATTTGCATAAAAAATTACTGACAGAAATAGGGCAGTGAGGCAGCCCTGGCATTTTGATCTTTTGGCCTTTGTCATGGAGATTCCTAGTTGAGAAGGGAGGAAGGCCAGTGTCCCAGATAATGATTAACTGTTTTAATGGCATTCATTCATTCATTCCACACTAACTACTCATGCAGAAAAAAGGGTTATGTAAAATGACATTAGAAGAAAAATCATTTGTAATCGTTGCATCAGGCTGCACTTTGAGGAGACATTAGGAGTAAATCCTTGGCGTGGTAGGCTTATGCTTTATCTTCTGATATTTACTGAGTTTACTGGTGCATGAAAAGCTTTCAGCAAGAATAGCAGATGGGATGGACCTTTCATAGTTAATGCTATCTACCAGGTTATTACTCCTATATATTGATAGTGAAGTAATCTCCAAGATATCACCCTACAAATATAGATTATTTAAATGTTTGTAACAAAAAAAAAAAAACTATAACATAGAGAAGCTACGTTCATGAATAGTTTATTTTGTACCCATATGGCTGGAGTCTTCAGATGTTTTTTTTAAGCCTTAAATAATAAGGAAACAGGGTTTGTACAATACAGGTTTCATTTGTTATTTGGCTTTGGAAATAAGTAAAGTTATGTTGTAATCTGACTCGTAAGTATGCAGTTTAATTTCTGTCCTTAAATGTGACCTTTTCTATTAGCTAAACAAAAGGAAATGACATGGCAGGGATGGGGTTGGGGAGCTGGTTTGGGAGGGAGTATAGAGCAGGAGAGACTGGGATCACATTCCTAATACTCTTAAAGACCTTGTGCTCTCTACTTCTTGTACAATGGCATAGGAAAGCTTTAACATCTTTCTGTTTCTACCAACTAAGACCTTATGGGAGATTGTTTCCTGATGAGGCAAAGGTTTCCAGATTGCACTTGCGCTGTAGTCAAAAGATAACATATAGATAATAATTTGTAGTGCCATTAAATTTTCAGCTGCTACATGAATCTCTGTTAGCAGCTAAAAACTTGACACGTTCAATAGTGAAAAGTCTACCAGCCACAGAATGTCAAGCATAATTTATTCGTTAGATGAGTTATTCCTATATTCTGCTGTATGTTTAACTTTTGGATTAGAATGAGACACCTATTGAAGAAGTATTTAAATGTTGTTTGCTTACTAATTTAGCCATATAAATCACTACAGTACTCTGGTGAGCATGCTCAATTTTGTGTCAACCTCCATATAGCTGGCATTTATTTTCAAGAGCCCAGTTGAAATTAGTGAAATACAATATTTATCTTTTCTTTTTATAAAAAAGAAAGCACCTTGAACTCAAGATAAATTTAACAAAGTTTCAAAATAAGTCGTAATTGTTCAAATCCAGTGGGCAACGATTCCATAATGGAAAATATAAAACTTTTCCATAGGCATTTTAGCAGACCTTTTGGTGATTAAAATCATTGTATCTCTGGCAGGGCACTTTTTGTTTTATTGGTTTTTGTAACTGTATGTTCTCACTACACTGTGGTGATGTTCACATTACCAAATAATATAGTCATATCATTTTCATAGTAAAATTATGATTCATTTTAGGGCCTAGCTTCCTGAATAACAGAATAGTAACATAATGCTCTTGATTCTCTTTGCAGCTGCATTGTACTAGCATGCTACATGGAGAGTCCTCTAGCACACAAGAGGAGGTGATGACCTTTGGGGTTTTGTGGTAGCATCACAGTGTAGGTTTTCTACTAGCATCATCTTTAAAAGCAGATTTAATACATGTAACATTCTACATGATGGGAGGCAAAGTATCGTTTTTAATATTTATTTCTGCTTTTAAGAGACAAATTCAAAGTGGAGGTGATTTCTGTGGCTGGAGACTATATATCTCTCATGTTCAACTAATCAGAACAGAGAAAATTCTTCCAGTAAATGAAATCCACTGATTTTTTGCTCCAAAAGATTATGTGAATGTGTTTGTGGGTTCTTTTTTTCTTGTCTGCTCTATGCATTTATGATAAAAAGAGTAAGTGAAAAAGATGGCTTAATAAGTGACTTACACACTGTCAGATGTGTACTAGAGTGTACTTCATCTAGTACTGTTAGATGACAATGAGAAGCTCTGATTTTAAGACATGGATGAGAAATATACGAGTTACTGTTTTTTTTCATTATTATTTCCCTGTTTTACCACACTTCTGTCACAAATCATTTTGGTTTTCATGGTATTTGTTGCTGGTTGTGTCACTCTTGTTAGTCTTCCTTCACCCTCCTTTCTGGTGAGTGAGAGTGAACTTAGTCAAATGAATCTGAAACACATATTTAAACCCATAGGGGAAGGGAGTTCAAAATAAGGCAACCCTACAAGTGTGATCAGATTCATAAAAATTAGTTGTAGAGGAATTCTGTGGTTTCTGCATATTTTAGATGCATTGTGGTCATTCTTCTGGAGACTGTTCAGAAAAAGACAGTGGTTTCAGTAAGCAGATGAACATGATGAGGAAGATTTAAAGAAAAATGCATTGTTATAGTGAGTTTTACAAAATATTTCTAATTTCTTAGAAATCTAGCACATTCTTCTGTGCTTTTTCAAAGTCAATGGGGAGGAAATGTATGGAACCCTAAAAGTAATAATTTGCTATATTGAATGAATATTTTTTTAATGAGATTGTTTTTGGAAGTTGATAGAGATTTGGGAATGCGGCAGGTGAAGGTCTTTTATCTCTGTCAGATCTTTACCATATTGCTTTAAGTGAACACTGCTGAGAGGGACTGGTTTAGCAATACACAAATGTGGCTATACAGCTGGTGGATGTAATATCTGATGGCCCTGTCTGTCCCCTGGGGACAGGGGGGCATCTGTGTAAGAGGGAAGAGCACTGGGAGAAAAGGAGGAGGAAAGAGATATAAATCAGCAGCCTATTTTCTTGGATTCAAAGCTGAAATAAAATAGCCAGGTGGAGTAGATACTGAGGTTGCATCTCATTTATGATGCTCAGGGTTTAATTTCTTCTGCAAGTTTATGGTAATATGAGCAAGTCACTTTTTCAAACAAAATACTCCCTCAGCAAGAAGAAATATATTGATTTAAGCATAGTAAAATCCTGTTTATATAATTTTAAAATATTTTGAATTCAGCATTCAGAAAAATGCCAGTCTTCATTCTCACCAATTTCCATCTTTCAGACAAAACCAGGACCAATAAAGATGGCCAGTTCTCACTCCGAGCCCTCTGCTCTGGTGTACTGCTACAACTGTTCCCGGGAAGGACATTTTGGATATGTAAGTCTTCATAATCCCTGCTTCAGTGTTGACTATGTCTGGGGTGTACCGATTCTCATCTCTGCCATAGCTTATGGCTGAAAAAACGAGCTGAAATAATCAGGCTAATGCTATAAAAAGAGAGTTGCCCTACTGGAATGTTTCTGAGTTTGCAGCATTGACAGAATTATTAAGAGGCCAGGTTCAAGTGAAATTTATCTAATTTTAAAATTACTTCAAAAAAATCCTGTGTAAGCTTGGGAGATTTGTGGGGAGAGGTTGTTCTGCTTTGTTTTCACCTAAGTTAAAATAAGACTCTCTCTGGAAGAGAATATTGGAAAATGGGCAGATCTCTCTCTCTCTCCATTTTTTGGTGGCTTCATGGGATGAAATATTAAGGCACTGCTTCCATGTTTAACACTGTATAAATTCTTTCACCACTATCAGCCTGGCATGATGGTGTGAAATTTCTGTTTTTTCAGGCTTTGATTGATGAAAACTGTTTAGGAATTCCCCACTTCCCTGATTTAGAGGGTCATTATTCCTAACTTCTTGTTTTTATTCTTACCTGGATTAAGTTAAACCTCATCCTTCCTAATAGTACATACTTTGCCTTAAATGATTTCAATTAAATTTGGAGTTTTCTTGCACTGCGTAGCACTGAGTATGGGTATTTACCTTGATTGCCTCCTCTCATGACCTGCAAGCCCTGTACCTGCAAAGATCTAAACCAAGCGAATGTAAGGAGGGGGAGTTGCTGTTTTTGTTGTTTTTTATTTATTTTATTTTAATGGAATAAGTAAGTAAGACACACCAGTATTTCAGAAAATGAGTTACTCATGCACTGAGTATATTACAGATATGTATCATTAAACCTTGTTGCTGTCTTTAACTTTGCTGTTAGAAAAGGGTATGTCTCTTCCTAAGTACTTAATTTATGTGTGGAATAGCAGGACAGGCTTAAGACACATTTTAATAACTGCCAAAAATGACATTCACATGTAGTTACAATTAAGGCTTCAGTAAAAGTATTTGCTAAAAATGTAGGAGAAGTAGATAGCAGTTATTCAGATGAAAAAGACTGAAAAGATACAAAAACAGGTGCTAAAATGATTCAGGAACAACATTCTGTGACTACCACAGTTTCAGAGATAAAATTTTATTGTTTGTAGTGCACAAAGAGCACAAATGGCCTGAAAAATGACTAAATGAAAATGAGAGAAGTCAATAATAATACAGACGGGCAAAAATATGCAACAGATCTTCCTATATGAATATGGAAGAATATGCACATATTTGATTAATATGATAGTGATTGAATATTTGCCTTCAGATCGATAACTGAAGTAATTTGTCAATTCAAAAATGGCCAAACAAACTAGACTAAGGCAAGCATGTGCATTTTTGTCATTATTCAGCTGGACTGGAAATATGTTTCAGATCTGCAACTCTTGCTGGCCAAGAAAAGTGTGGTAATAACCACTATGTCTCTTCATGCAATGGGCAACCCTGTTAGAGCTTGGAATATCTCATAATTTAAAGAAAGGAAAGCATTAAAAATGTTTGTTAATCTGTAGAACCTACTTCAAATGGTAAACGTCTCTACCTTCATGTCAACATCTTAGCTTTCTTATCTCTATACTTCAGGGTCTGTGTATAGAGGCCATTGCCTCTATTAGACAGTTAAAGCTGTCAATAAATTGCTCAACACGGTAAGTCTGGGACTGATTTTGGCTCATCTCAGTCAGTGCTTCTCACTAGAATCCCATGCTTTTACAGTATCACTAGATCTAGCCAAGGGACACCTTAAATTTCATTCCTCTGCTAGAGATGTACAAAGACCATTAAAAAAAAAAAAACTCAGGGAACAGCAAAACAGTTACTAAATCCAAGAGTTAATGGGACCATTTCCAGTTGGAAAATCATTTTGGACCACTCAGTATTGTTTGCAGAAAAGGAAATAATTAGACATAACCTGGCAAAGTTTGCAATGCCTAACAGTTCTAGTTTCTGAAATGTTGCTTTCAATAACCTGTTTGGCAGTGTTTAAGGGTAATGTCTTTCATTTCCTCAATATATTGAGACACCATTTTGTCCGTTCTAAAGGCAGCTTTCTGAATTTGGTATATTATTTATTAAAGCACGAGAAAGTTAATCAAGAACACCCCATTGTGTTATGCTGCTTGCAGCAGCAAGTTTTCAGGGCAGTGGGGATAAGGAAGTAGACAGTATCTGCAGATCTGCCTTGCATTTACATCCCAATGTGCCAATCAAACAGAAAATTTCTCCTGTGGCTTGATAGCAGGCTGTGCTTTCCATCCTCTGTGTGTTACTTCCAGTGCTAAAGAATGTCCCGAGAGTATTTAACAGTACAAAGTGTATGGCAGTAGTGGCAGCTTACTTGAGAGGAAGGGATATAGAAAAGTGTATTTTGGACACTGTTGAATTGATTTGTTTCATTGAAGTGAAGTTAAAAAGAGGGAAATAGTGCTGATTTTGGTGGCATGTGCATTTCATTCACTAAGACTTTTCTGTCAGCATATTAACCAAGTAAAAAATAGTGAAAGCTCCTTGTCTACTAAACAATCCCTAGACTTAATGCAACACCTGTGATGTTGTGATATGAAACAAGTTTCACAGGCATCAAGCAGTGATGAATGTGCCTTTACATACTCCTATGTAAAGCAGATCCATGTTGCTTTCTATAACCTATCTGGCAATGTTTAAGGGTAATGTCTTTCATTTCTTCAATATATTGAGACAACGTTTTGTCCTATCTAAAGGCCGCTCTTAGATTCTGCTCATCTGAAGCACAGATGTTTGAAATGTCATACTGTCCTCTTAAATCTGTGGGAATCAAATGGAGGAATTGCAGGAGGTAAAATAAATTTCTTTGGGGGAAGTTCTAGGTGTTTAAGCTGTTTAGCTGAAAAATCCCGCGAGCCTTCCTGGATATCCCTAAGCTCCTCCCTGGAGCATAGAGGAGGCTTATGGTAAAGAGCGGAGTTAAATGGCCCCTCCAAACTCCCTGTCAGCCTGATACTGCAGTCATGAAAAGGCTGCAGGCAGAGACCTCAGTAAATTCCAGTTACAAGCTGCGTTGTTCCTCTGCACTCCCTTGGCTGTGTGGAGACAATCTTTTTGTGCTATAACGAACAACACCCTCTTGGAGTTCACTTCAGCTAATTACCCAAATCTTCAAATCTTTCACTTAATTTCAGTCACGTAAAGACCAGTTGTAAGCTGAGAAATGCACATGAAGTGCATATGAAACACATTTCCAATGCATTGTGTCTGAAAACAAGAAAGAGGAATAGGTAGAATATGGAGGGAAAGGTAATGCTAGAGTTAGAGGTACCCCATGGTAGAAGTGACAAGTGCAGGAAAGCTGATTACCTATGGTGTAGACACTAGGGTGAGTGAAAGCTCTTGAGAGTTTTTATCACAAGGCCCAGAGTTCAGTACATTTAGAGACACTTCGTAAAGCCACGAAGATGAGTAAGGGAATGGAGGATCTATCTTATGAGGAAAGACTGAGCGACCTGGGCCTGTTTAGTCTGGAGAAGAGAAGGCTGAGAGGAGATTTGATCAACAAGTTCAAGTGCCTGGGGGGTTATTGTAGGGAGGATGGGGCCAGGCTCTTCTCCATGGTGGCCGGTGACAGGACGAGGTAGTGGGCGTAAGTTGAAACACCGGAAGTTTCATCTCCATGTGAGGAAGAACTTCTTTACTATGAGGGTGCCAGAGCCCTGGAACAGGCTGCACAGAGAGGCTGTGGAGTCTCCTTCTCTGGAGATCTTCCAAACCCGCCTGGATGCCACCCTGTGCCACATGCTCCCTGCTGGAGCAGGGGGGTTGGACTGGATGATCTCTAGAGGTCCCCTCCAACCTGAACTGTTCTGTGATTCTGTAATGTCCAATAAATAGAAAGGTCATACTGGTAAACTAAACAATTAACAAGCCATTTGCAAGGAAAGCAAATTATCAATTAATATCACATGGAAAAAGAGCAGAATCCTATCAAGCATCACAAGTTTACTTAGCCTGCCTCAAAAGGCACTGCTGAAACTTAATGGTGAACAAGCAGTGCTGAAAAAAGCTGTATTACTGGATCAAGTATTTGAGAAAAAAAGCTCACATACCCATAAATTAAACCATGCACAACCTGTTCCTGCGCACTTTGTGGTCTTCTTCCTCTTAGGTTTGCCTAGGAAAATCTTCTGCAGGATTTGTTTTGTTCTGTTTTGTTTTGTTCTGCATCTGAGAGAAAATTGTGTGTGGTCAGACATACAGCTGGCATGGGATGAGCTGTGTGGGGATGCTGCAGTCTGTATCTGGTCTTCACGTATATTTTCTCCTATGGCCCTTTGAGTCTGACACCTTTTAGCACATAGACTCCCCTCAAATGATGCAGCTTAAAAAAGCTCCTTTACATTAAGAAGTATTAGTCTTTTGGCAGGTCAGGGCTGCTGCCCGTACAAGTAGTTGTGCTGGGAGACTGGAGGGGGCAGTAGGAAGCAGCTGAAGCAGGTAAGGGGAGGACATGGCTCAGTTGCAGTCAGTGCAGCACTTCTCCTCAGGTTCAGTTTGGCAGTTGCGTTGTATTTACCTACTGTTCACCTGATTTTATCCCCTTTTTTGAGTGCTACTTATCTGTAATAATTGAGGAGAAACATGAAACTCCTTCCCTTTGCTGTAAGAGAACTGCGGTTTAGCTCGTTTAATGTGTATGTGTTTGTGTACAGGAAATATTATTGGAAATTAGTAAAACTATGAGTTAGATTAAAATAAAGTACATTTTCAATTTTTTTTTAAATAAAATTACTGATTAAGTGAATGAAATCATCAGTGTTTTAAGAATTTTTGGCCTCATTCTTGATAGGTACAGATCAGCAGTAGCTGAGTGAAGGAACCCTGATTTGCACCTACTGAGGATTCAGCCTGCAAAATCTGATACATTTCCTTTGCCTGAGAGTCATAATTCAGCTACATCTAATGACTTGAAATGTGTTTTGCAGGCGTGTTCAGAGAGGCGGATGCATGGGAGTATTTTCCCTAGTTCCCCATTTATCTACTACTATGATGATGAATATGACATCGAGAAGAGAGCTCACAGACTAAAAAGGAAGGCTTCAGGTACAGTGTGTTTTGAGAGATAGCTCTTGCTTGCCTAAAGAACTGAATCAGTTCTTTAAAATACTTGCTTCTATGCTTGCTCCCTTTTGAAATATTGTAGGATTATTTTCTTGTGTTGAGAAAAGAGATTTGAAAAACGTAGTCTACAGTTAGTAAAAGATTTATGACTTTATCCTTTCCTGTCTATTTATTGTTTCAGAGACACTATACAGGCGCTGTCAGATGTTTTCATCCAAAAAATCATTGATATTAAAATTGCTGTACAGAGGCAGCAAGAGGATTAAACTGTAATTTGCTGGGATACCAGCCTGTTCACAAAAAAAAAAAAAAAAACACTGTGAAAGAATCTATAATCAGAGTAAACAAGTTGCTTTACTGTCTCCATAACATAAGGAAATCTATGATAGCTCAGACACTAGGTTTCATGCTTGTGGGTGAGTACTGAAGTGAGCTGTCCTGTTTTACAGAACTGCAAGAGGCTGGCCTTTTGCCCGTGCGTCTGGAGAGCCCATGGAAGAGAGAAAAGCACGTGGAACACAGCCATAAGAAAAAGAAAAAGCCTTGGAAAGAGCATAGTAAACAAAAGACTAAGTCGTCCCGGACAGACAAACACAGAGCAAAGAAGCACAGAAATGAGGCTGAAAGGGGCCACGGGATGGAAGAGGACTTTCCTAGAGGGTATAAAAAGCATGCATCAAAGGCTGGCAAAAAATGTCACAAGTCAGATTTCCAGGCACACGGCAGCAAGACAGAATATGTCCAAAAGATTTTGGAAGCAGCTGAAAGGAAGAAGAAAATGAAAAAGCGGAAAGACAGTAGTCCCAGTATCGATGAGAGTTTATTTCTTATTAAACAGAGAAAAAAGAAATCTAAATAGAAATCTGGTAACAGAAAAGTAGACAGCCATGTTATTTAGTAGCTCTGTCTCTTTTTTTGTTTTTGTCCTTCTTATAACACATACAATTCTAAATCCACTTCTGAATCCAGTTTTAAATTATACTTCTTTCTCTGTTTCCGGAAGAATATTCCTGAACATGATATTTCTAACTCACTTAATAGGAAGTATTTAATATCTGTGGATGGAATGACTGCATTTTTGCAGCAGGTCCAGGTTAGGCAGTAAGTTTATTTTGTTTTCTTATAGTGGGGGACGGGCCTTTGTTGGATATTTGGTATAATTTTATTCCGTAACTGGTGAGATGTTTCTTTATCTTTCAAAGTACGAACTGCTGTTAGGCAAATGTGATTCCTTTTGCAGTGGAAATTGCAGGAGAACTTTTCCTTCAGGAGGAGTCAGGGTAGAGGGAAAGGCACGTAGTTCTAAAATAATTCTGGTCAGTCCTCTCTGGAGTGCCAGAAAGTGATTTTTCATTTCTTTCCCTCTTGGAGGGTGTAGTGAATTTGTTATCTTGCACTTTGGGACGTGATAGTCCCATACCAGACCTCACGGTCTGCTATGGTGCAATGGATCCATCATGATCATCAGTGTCGGGTACCTCCTCAGTATCAAGTGCACATGAGGCTCTGAGGGAACCCAGTCCTTGTTGTTGCTGGCTATAAACACAGCAGGTGGAATGAGTTAAGAACATGGAACAGACACCCAGGTTTACATCTTGAACTAAAGGTAGATTTTGCATAGTGTCGACTTTGTTTTTGAAGACAAAAGTATGTAGCAACATAGCAGAACATGAAAATGTGTTTAATTCCAGGCATACTGTGCTAAAATTTAATAATTTAATTTTTTAAAGACAGTTATTTTTGTACTATGGGATTAAACAATTATGGTGTTAAAAGCTTTTTAAGAATAAATGGTTGTTCAAAGGAATAGTTCAAATAAAAATTTATTTCAGGGCTATGCAAAACTGCAGATTTAGTCTGTATTTTCTTGCATTCTCAAGCAGAACTATCAAATAAAAGAGAGCTTCTCTGTCATGTGTTGAAACTACATAAATTCTAACAAAAGGTTTTATGTTTTGTAATAGGATATACTCTATACTATAAATACTTTTTATAGAATATATGTTCTAAATGCTTTTAGTACAGTAGAGAGAGTAACAGCACATTTGCATGAAGTCACATGTTCTCTTCCATTTCTTCCTCAAAAAAATGGATTTAGCTACTGCTGTATGTTGAAACTGGAAAGTGATCACAACCTGTGGAACTGTGTGTGTATCTAAGTAGGGGAAATCCACTTAGATTATCTAATTCTTTTTTTTTTCTTGAAAAGGCACCAGTGTGAACACTGGGATTTTACAGATCATATCACTTCATCTCAGAAAACTAGAACGAGGAGCAGAGCTAAATAAATATATACCTGGGAACCTGATGCCCAGTTGCATTTAAGCATGTCATTGTTGGCAGCTGGGCTGCTTTTTGGTTAACTTGATGGAATACTTAACGGAAAATCTCCAAGAACTATCAAGAAAGTAAATCATTTTTAGCCCTAATTGATTTTTAATGCCACTAAGGACTTTCCCCTAAAATAGGAACTTTTCTTTCTACATTTGCTGTGTTTTACCATCCTTTTTGTTTATCAGTACGTGCTTGTGTTTGAACAAAAAGTCTCCATTAGTCTACAGTGGGACCAGCACATAGACCAAGAGGAAGGAGTGTTTGGAATTAGTATGAGAATCAACTCCAGCTCCTCTGATAACATGAGTTTGGTGATGTGGCCAAACCAAGCCATCATGACATAAGTATCTTTATGATTTCTGTTGCTAAACCCTTTAAATAACCACCAAGAGCTTAGAAGATGCAAAAAGAGTAAAATTCTGGCCTTACCATTCTCTATACTGCACAGTGGGGTGGTAAGGACTGGTCTATCTTCCTCGTCTCTCTGAATGAAGAACAGCGAGTCCTCTGCCCGCTCCCTAAGTACTGGAACCGCAGCATTTTCAAAAAGCTCCAAGAGGACCAAGGGAAAAACTGAGATCTGTAGTAGGGTCTAGCAGAGAGAGAGATGATTGCAGCCCACAGTCAGTTTCTGAGGAGTTTTAAGGATGCCATATGTCATGAAGGAGAGAAAGAGAGGGAGAAAACAGTCACTTTTAGAAAGAAAGGTCAAAGAGTTTGTTTATTTATATATTTATTTATTTGTGCTGGAGTGGAGTCTTCTACAACCCCTATTTGTCATTGTCCTTCCCCCAACATTCAGCTCATTATTTCCCAGGGAACCCACCAGGAAGTGAAAAGTGCCATGCATTTCTCATTTGGTCATTATATGATGTTTAGAGGTGTTTAGAGGTTTAGCCAATGTGAGGGGAAACATAAGTAATGCAAAAATGATAACATGGAAGCACTCAATACAGGGAAGTACAGTAACATTAATACTGCTGTGCTAGTGGACCTGTAGGACGTCTGATAAGTGATAGCCACTGTGCTTAATAGGTGCAAGTGTCCTTTAAATTGTCTATGTACAGTTTTGTATGATACTCTGATATGAAATGAGTGAGAATTTCTCCTAACGCTTAAGGTGTTTGAGTGTTGTGACAAGACTCACATGAGCTGGGAGTCCACAGTGAGTTGTTTCTTAGATGGTCAGCAACTTCAGCCAGCTCCTTTTTACTTTGAACTCTTCTATGGATGTTTCTCAAATCGTTATGTGTTGACAAGCACAAAAACAAGTAACATAAATTCTCCCAGGAAAGGTAATAGTGGGAAGTTAAGGCAAGTTGGGCGATTTATACAAGTGCTTGCAGGTACCCTCAGAAGCCTGGCTGTGTAATATGGTCTCTGTCTGTCATCTGTGATGAGTACTGCAAGCACCACATCATGTGTTTGCAAAGGTAGTATTGCTGCCTTTCCTGTCTGCCTGTTGTAGCTGTCCTGTTTCACTGGTATCTAACCTGGCTTTTCCTCTGGTGTGTATCCCTTGCTTCTGGTTGCAAGACTGACTAAAAGCAGAGAGAGAAAGCAGAACTTTTGGGATGATGGAAAGAAAAACAATAAATAAACAGCAGCAAGATCTGGAAGCAGATGGAAGCTAAGTGGAAGAGCTGCTATAGCAAAACAGCAGCTGGAGACCTGGAATTAACTGGCTGCAACGTAGCTCTGCAGTAGTTACCCAGCTCAACATGAGGCAGCAAAACTGTGGTAGGAGAGGCAGATACTGTACCAACAGATAAAAAGGATCAGTCCACAATTTCATTGCACTTTTTAAGACAGAAAATCTGCCAGACAGTGCCCAGAAGAAAGTTCAGAGAAGAATCAGAGTCCAGACAATGCCTTTAGCAATTGAAGAATGAAAGGCATAAGCCTGTTGTCTTGATTGTTGGTGTGTTTACAGAGAAAAGCAGGTGGTAAACAAGCTGCGATGGAAGAGTTGAAGGACAAGCAGGCATAAGTTTAAATTACGGCAAAAAAGATATAGACAAGACACAGAGACAAAAGTCTTTAAAATGGTAAAGATAGCAGAGGATGAGTTGTCTGAGAAGGTCGTGATCCCCGTTGATGTCACTTTAGAGGAACAGCTCTTCTGTGCTCTCTGAAAGATCTGTCCTTCTGTCCCTTCCATCCGAAGAGCAACGTCCTGCTCTGCTGTGGTTCAGCGTGTGGGTGAGTGTGCCATGCAGCCAGGCACTGCTGCAGTGAAGAGCAGTGGAACCAGCCCACTAAGATCTCGGGGGGATATCAGGCTGTCTTCTCACACGGGATCACGTGTAAGCGCCCGTGACTTGGTGCCTCACGCAGGATAACCACCGCACTCGGCTGTAGCTGTAAAAGCTTCGCTCACACGGAGAGCTTGGCCCTTCCCACACGTGCGGCAAGTCACGTACAGCGAAACAGGAAGGATTTGCCTTTTGCCAGCCTGCAGAGCCGGCGCAGAGTTCATTTCCACAGTCCCAGATGAGAAGAAGGGCTCCTGCTCTGCTGGATGCCATATACACACAGACGGAGTAATTTGTGCCCCTCAAATCCAGCCGTTTACCTGTGGGAGAACCAGTATCGGCCCTGTTTCGTGAATGTCCTTGTCCACCATGGAGGACTCTAGTAAAGGACTTCTTTCCTGTGGCAACTGAAGCTAAATTGGTTGGACTCAGCATTAGAAGGCTGTCACTGGTAGTATATGTGTCCTATAACCATAAGTAAGTTTTCTCTCTAGGAGCAAACGGCTGTTGCAGAACTCACTGCACAAATAATAAAGTTGAGCGTGTTTTCGTATTGGATAGGAAAATGACCAACAGGGCAGATGCACTTTCTACCAGCAATAAAAGCAATCAATCACAATAGTTACTATAAAAGAAAGCCCTGCGGTAAAATCCTGTTCTAGTCCTGGTTGCTTGCAGACTGAGTCAGTTTCACCAAGCTCAATTTTATTCTGCTAAACCAAAACGTTTCTCAGCCTGTCATTCCTCCCACCTGCTATTTTTTCCTTCCTTCAAAGAACTGTCAGACTTTACTCCAGAGATGCCTGGGACTGAAAAACATGCTTATCCCAGGAGAGGATGGTGTCTCAGGGTCACAGTTGATGTGCATTGGTGAAGCAGCATGAGGGAACTTACACTGCGTGAATAAATAAAGGGCTGTAGCTCAACCTGGGCTATATGGAAGAGACAAGATGGGTGGATCAAAAGGTCAGAGTCTTGTTTCGTAATGGGGGCAGCTATCCCAAGAGTGAAGAGGGGAGAAGAGAGGATTCAGCAATTCAAGCCATCATTTGTTGCAGCCGCTACACAGCAAGGTTGAAGATGGAGCGAATACCATAATTTGAAGTTTACATCTTTGCAGTGTATCAGCATGTATTGGCAGAAGAATTAAATGGCACACGGTAACACACTGGAACAGAGGGCTGGCTTCCCTTCAAAGCTTTATTTTCTCTGAAGCCTACCTTAAGAAAAAGGAGAAACAGAGCATGAGTTACCATAGTGGCTCCTAGAA